TCAGATAACACAAAGTTACACCTTTTGTTACAATCTCATAGGGACCTGGAAAATCTGTTCATTAAAAAAAAACTTTGTTTTTAAAATCTTTTTTCATACTGGATAATTTCTGTTGATATGGTTTATAGTTTGGTGACTCTCTTTCTGTTATCTGTGTTCTTCTATAGAGGCCATCCAGTGAAGTTTTAATGTTTGCTATTTATTTTCACATAAGAAATTTTCATTTGATCCTGGCTAAGTGCAAACTCCCTGTTTTAGTAGATTCAGAAATTTGCGGGGGTGGGGGGGGGGCGGACAGGCAAATGGTATGGCAGTTAAGGTGCCAGTCTGGATCCCTGCAACCCCTGTTGAAGTGCTTGGTTCAAATCGCTGCTGCTCTGCTTCTGATCCAGCTTCCTGCTAGTGCATACCTTTGAGAGGCTCAAGTATCAAGTACTTGGGTGTCTGCTACTTGCGCAGGAAATCTGGATTGAGTTCTGGGATTCTGCCTTTGACTCGACCCAGCCCTGGTTACTGTGGACATTTGGGGAATGAACTGGAGTGGATGGAAGATCTCTGTCTCTCTGTCTCTCTTTCCCTTTCCCTACCTTTCAAATAAAAATATTCTAAAGAATGTTTTTGATTGCTTACTGGATTATTTGTATGATAATAGTTTTAAAACCTTTAGTAGTTTGGATATCTGTGTCATCTTCCCCCTGCATTTTGACATTTTCTTAGTTTTTGCTAAGAAATTTTTTTAAAGATTTTATTTATTTATTTGAGAGGTAGAACCACAGACAGTGAGAGGGAGAGACAGAGAGAAAGGTCTTCCCTCTGTTGGTTCACTCCCCAGATGGCCACAATGGCCAGAGCTGCACTGATCCGAATCCAGGAGCCAGGTGCTTCTTCTTGGTCTCCCACGCATGTGCAGGGGCCCAAGCACTCGAGCCATCTTCTGTTGCCCTCCCAGGCCACAGCAGAGAGCTGGATTGGAAGAGGGGCAGCCGGGACTAGAACCGGCACCTATATGTGATGCTGGTGCCGTAGACGGAGGATTAACCTGCGCCACGGAGCTGGCCCGGCTAAGAAATTTTTTGTGTCCTGCCCATTTGGCATATTATGAGACTCTGATATTAACTCAGTTCTATGTAGGACATTACCAGCTTTGTTTTAGCAGGCAGAGAACCTTGTTGGGTTCAGGCAGTGATTGCAACTCACCTCTGTAGCTGTGAGTTCAGTCCCACCTCCTTTTTCAGTCTGCGGTGCTCTGCGTTGTTTCTGCATGTGTGCCACCCAGGGGTCACTCTTGGACCTGTGACATGGTATGTCCAATCTTCAAACACTAGGCTAAGTGCGGTCTGTCCCACACGTGCGCCGGGAAGGGTTGAGCTTAGGAGGCGATCAATGGTTTTCTTCCATTCCCTTCAGGATCCTTTTCTTCAGTCATCTGGTCAAAGCACCAGGACTACAGTGACTGCACTTCTCCAGGCACCCTGCATCCAGGACCAAGTGCAGTGGCAAAGGGGACTGAGGGAGGAAAGGTGCACTGGGCATTTTCCCGTTCTTTGAAGCTCAGCCTCTCTTTCTGAGTTTTGCTTCTTTCAGGTTCCTGTGGCCACCACCACTGTGTTGCTTGGGGGCGGGGTGCAGGGGCATGAAGTACTCTCTCTGAGCCTTAGCAGTTAACACTTCCTCCTAGAGGCAGAACTAGAGGGTTTCCCTTGAACTTTCTCTGTCTGCATGCCATTACCCGTTTCTGGTATGAGTTTAGGCTAGGAGTTTAACTAGAGGCAAAAAAAATACAGCAAACTCACTGCTAGTGCAGTGATAGTTCTTTTTGGCAACATTTGTTTGTTTGTTGTTTATATCTACTTGAAAGGGAAAGAATGAGAGACCCAGAGCAAGGCAGACAGAGAGAGAAAATGAGAATCTTCTGTCTTATAGTTCATTCCCTGAATGTCTGCAATAGCCAGGACCTGGTCAGGCTGAAGCAAAGAGCCTGGAACTCCATCCACATCTCCCACTCAGGGGATAGGGGCCCAAGCATCTGCTTTCTTCCAGGAGCATCAGTAGGAAGCTGAATCTGAGGCAGGGTAGCCAGGACTCTTGGTGGCACTCCCATATGGGATATCTCAAGCAGTGGCTTAACCTGGAGCACCACAGTGCCTGGTTCAGTTCGGTGATATTTCAAATTGCCATCTTTTCCTGCAATCTACCTGTAGTAATTTATGTACTTTTCAGATTCTTCAAATATCTGTTCTGTCCAGGTTTTATTGATATATTTCTTTATTGGGTTTAATAGCGTGGAGTGTGCTTATAGCTAATTGATACTTGGAACTTCCTCTTTTAGACTAAAGCCTGTAATGGTGGACCAGCTTTGGTCAGCCTGTTATGCCGTACCTCTTTCTTGTCTCCTCACCCTTCTGCCCTTCTTTTTCGTTCTTGGCTCTGGTTGCTTTGGCTCTCATATAAATTGGTAGAGGGAAATAGAAAGGCGCATGAGGTATTGTTTCTTCTACCCTATTGCTGAGCTTGTTTGCTTTCATTTTTGAGCCTGCTCTGGGCCACCTGTGTCACCGTGGCTGAGTGGCATGTCATTACCAGCTGACCTGCTCACAGTTCTGTGTTTCAATTTTTCCCTCTTTTGTGTATTTTCTGATTATTCCTTTCCTCATGCATGTCTGATTGCATGCAGCGTTTTACACAGCAGACCACTTTTTCTTTTCCTCCAATGTGCCAATTAGAGTGAAAGTCTGCTGCATTTTTTTCTCATCATCTCTGTGTTGTTTGTTTGATCGAGGCTTATTTTGGAGTGTGTGTGTGGTGGAGTGGGCAGTGTATTCTTGATCTGGAAACATATTGGAAACTCAAGGCTTTAGGAAATTTGTTTTTTGTTGTCTTAATTAAGATTTTAAAAAGCAATGCTTTTTTTTTCTTTCAGTTACCAAGTTACATGAACTTTATCTTAGTCTTGATGCTGAATTTAGCACTGTTCCACTGCATCAGAACTGAGAAGGAATATTTATCTATTAATTGTGATATTTGTATGTATCTAATCATAGTTATAGCACTAGTTATTTATTTCTTTTAGAAATGAAGGAGGGAGGGAAGAAGGACTGGAGGGAGCAGAGAGTGACAGAAAGCGAAAGCAAAGTAAGAGTACTCGCATCCACTGGTTCCCTTACGAAATTGCGCAACAGCCAGAGGGCCAAAACCAGGTGATGGGAACTCATTTCAAGTCTCCCAAGTGGATGGCTGGGATCCAGCTACTCGATCCTGTCACTGCTGCCTGCCAGGTGTGCATTAGCAGCAGACTGAGCTCCGAAGCTGGAGTCAGATATCTAACCCAGATACTGATGTGGCCCTTCCAGCTGGTGGCTTAACTGCTAAGCCACCCTGAGCTGTCTCAATATCTTACATTGTTTACATTTCTTACACATTAGTTTCAGTTACTCTCTTTTAAGATGTTCCCCTAGAAGCACTCAAAGTGAATGGCCTATAAATTTAGCAAAAAATCTTTCTAGCCATTTTCTTTTTTTAAAAATGATTTACTCTAATCCTCCGCCTGTGGCGCCAGCACACCGGGTTCTAGTCCCAGTGGGGACGCCGGATTCTGTCCCAATTGCTCCTCTTTCCAGTCCAGCTCTCTGCTGTGGCCCGGGAGGGCAGTGGAGGATGGCCCAAGTGCTTGGGCCCTGCACCCGCATGGGAGACCAGGATAAGTACCTGGCTCCTGGCTTCAGATCAGCGCAGCGTGCCGGCCGTGGCACGCCAGCTGCAGTGGCCATTGGAGGGTGAACCAACGGTAAAGGAAGACCTTTCTCTCTCTCTCTCTCTGTCTCTCTCACTGTCCACTCTGCCTGTCCAAAAAAAAAAAAAGATTTATTTATTCATTTGAAAGAGCATCAAACTGAGAGAAAGAGAGAAGAAAAGAGGGGGGGGGAGGGACAAAGGGAGAGGAGGGGAGAGAGAGGGAGAGAGAACTTCAGTCTGTTAGTTCACTACCCAATTGATTACAACAGCTAGGTCTGGGCCAGGTGGAAGCCAGGAGCCAGGAACTCCATCCAGATCTCTCACTTGGATGGAAGGAGCCTAGATAGCTGGGTTATCTTCCACTGCCTTCCTAGACACATTAGCTGGGTGGGAAGTGGAGCAGCCAGGTCTTTAAACTAGTGCTCCAGGGGCCGGCGCAGTGGCTCACTTGGTTAATCCTCTGCCTGCGGTGCCGGCCTCCCATATGGGATGGGTGCCGGGTTCTAGTCCCGGTTGCTCCTCTTCCAGTCCAGCTCTCTACTGTGGCCGGGGAAGGCAGTGGAGGATGGCCCAAGCACTTGGGCCCTGCACCTGCATGGGAGACCAGGAAGAAGCACCTGGCTCCTGGCTTCGGATCGGCATAGCTCCGGCTGTTGCAGCCATTTGGGGGGTGAACCAATGGAAAGAAGACCTTTTTCTCTCTCTCTCTCTCTCACTGTCTATAACTCTGCCTGTCAAATAAATTTTTAAAAATTAAAAAAATTAAACTAGTGTTCCAATATGGGATGCTGGCTTCACAGGCAGTGGCTTAGCCCACTGTGCCACAGTGCCTGCTCACCCCCATCCCCATCCCCATGCACCCATTGCTTATGTTGAAATCGTCTGATGGAAGCAAGGTGTTATTTGCATTTTTCATGGACTTCATAGATAAACAGCATTTTTAACAGATGACTAGTGTTTAACTTCATTTCCTTAAGGATATGAGGATGGAAACTGAGACAACCAAAGTCTCAGGGTGGTTTAAAATTGTAGAATACAAGTTTGTGAAATTCTTTTGTGGTCCAAGAAAGTTGGGATGGACTTTACCAGAAACCCCCCTTTCTTTTCCTTGAAGTCACAGGTCGTTTGGCAGTTAGATCCAGACCTATACACACACATCGGCAGTTTAAGAAGCATAGGATGTGCTCGCTTTCATTTTAATGCTTTCTCACACATACTGTTAATATGCCTTTGGATTGATTATCTAAGAATGTACTTTTAAATTTCAGATTTCCTCAAGTTGCTGGAATAGAATTTGGATTTGACCCAGATGCAGAACCAGGACATCGAATCATAAGAGATACTGTAAAAGTTCAAGGACAATATTTACGGAAAAAAAAAATTTACCTTCTTGCTATAAAGGAGTACATTGCAAATGTGAGATTAATTTATTTTTTTATTTTTATTTTTTGACAGGCAGAGTTAGACGGTGAGAGAGAGAGAGAGAGAGACAGACAGACAGAGAGAAAGGTCTTCCTTTTCTGTTGGTTCACCCCTCAAATGGCTGCTATGGCTGGTGCGCTGCGCCGATCCTAAGCCAGGAGCCAAGTGCCTCTTCCTGGTCTCCCATGGGGTGCAGGGCCCAAGCACTTGGGCCATCCTCCACTGCCTTCCCAGGCCACAGCAGAGAGCTGAACTGGAAGAGGAACAACCAGGACAGAATCCGGCACCCCAACCAGGAACAGAACCCGGGGTCCTGGAGATTAATTTATTTTTAAAATATTTTAAATAGAAACATTGTCTTACATTACTACATACATTTATGTACATGCACACAAATATATACTTTTGGTGATTTCAGATAATCCAATTTAAATAAATATTTTGCATTGTGTTTTTATACTCATATATTTATATTTTGTCTTATATGCTGGTAATGTTAATTTTGTTGTATTATCAGATTGAAAAATACAGAAATATATAATTCATGCTTTTTTAAAAAGGTTTATTTATTTGAAAGTCAGAGTTACAGAGAGGCAGAGGCAGAGAGAGAGAGAGAGGTCTTCCATCTGCTAATTCACTCCCCAAATGGCTGCAATGGCCAGAACTGAGCTGATCCAAAACCTGGAGCCAGGAGCTTCTTCCAGGTCTCACATGTGGGTCCAGGGGCTCAAGTCACTTGGGCCATCTTCTACTGTTTTTCCAGGCTGGATCAAAAGAGGAGCAGCCAGGACTCAAACTGGTGAGCAAAAGGGATGCCAGCCTGTAGGCAGCAGCTTTACCTGCTGTGCCACAGTGCCTGGTCCAAATTCATGCTGATTAATATCATTCTCTAAATAGCTGGCAAATATAGCCAGTGGTGGTTAAATAACTACAAGTAGTGTTGTAGTGATTTGCTCAACTTTAAATTTAGTGATGGAGCTGTGCCATGGCATAGCAGGTTCAGCTGACAGCTCTAGTATCCCGTATAGGTGCTGGTTTGAGTCCCGGCTGCTCCACTGTGATCCAACTCCCTACTAATGCGCCTGGGACAGCAGCAGAGGATGGTCCAAGTTCTTTGGCCTCTGCACCCATGTGGGGTACCCGGAGGAAATTCCTGGCTCCAGGCTCCTGGCTTTGGCCTGGCTCAGTCTGATTTGTGGCTATTTGAGGAGTTAACCAGTGAATGGAAGATCTTCATCTTTCTCTTTTTCTTCTATTCTTTCTGTAACTCTGTCTTTCAAATAAAATAAATAAATAAAAAAAATATTTTTAAAAATGTAGTGATAAAAACTTCTAACATACTTAATGGCATATTTTACTTATGTCATTTAATCATGTAGATTAAAACTTGGATGACTCCATGGGCTTTTCAGTTTACTTCAGTGGGCTTCTTAGTACTGCAGTCTGGAGCAGTGTCAGAGTGCTGGCGGGAAGCTTGTTCGACGCGCATTCCAGGTTCCGGTGCTGAGCCATTTCGGAGGTGCTGGCTGAGGCTCAGCGCTGCTGCTCTGAAGAGCCCTCCCTGCTGGATCTGATCACAGCCATGTTCATTCCTAAAGATGCTGGGCAGTGAGCTGAGGGCAGAGGTCCAAAGTTACCATGTCTGAATCGTCTGAATCCAGCGTCTTAAAGTCTGTCAGTTAACATATGTGGAGACATAGTTGTGTACATATCTATGAAATTGCATTTCTGTACCAATAATTTCAAAAGTACATTGGTTTTGATTTATTCTTGTTTCTAGATTAGAAAATTGCAATATGTTTTGCTGTTTCAGGGGAAGGATGGCTATATTATGCTTAAAAGTTGTCCTCGAATGTTTGACACAGAAACTGCACAAGTCCTTTCGACAGTTGTCATGAATCACTTTGAATCAATAAAGATTGTGCAGGGAAGGAAGCAGTGTCTTTCAGGCCATCGAATGAGTTTAATCACCACCACCAGCAGATCGCCATCACTAACAGGTGATCATAGTTCTGTTTTATTAGAAGTGTTTCTTTAATAAATAGCATTTTTGTTAAATTGTGAGCCATGGAAAAATGTATTCTTTTTCCTTAAGTGTGGGGAAATGTGAATAAATGAAGACTGAGCTACAATTTTAAGAAAGTCTTAAGCAAAAATTCACATCTGAAAAGCACAAATAAGTTCTAGGAGATTATAGACTTCTCGAAGTTCTCTGCTTCAACATCTTGACTACCTTTTCAATTTTTTCTGTCACTTCTATTTTAAATGAACCATTATAAGTATTTAAACCGGCTTACTTGGTCTCTTGTAAAACATGTTGTCTTTCCCTACCCAGTAAGCACTGTGCCTTGTCATGCAGAACTCATTTTATTGATATGGTTCAGAAGTTTTATTCTTTAAAAAGAGTCACTTAGCAATAATTCAGGACCAGATTGGACAAAATTCATATTGAGATTTTTATAATCCATTACTTGTTTGATAAAATAATTGTCTTCAAGGCCGGTGCCGCGGCTCACTAGGCTAATCCTCCGCCTAGTGGCGCCGGCACACAGGGTTCTAGTCCCGGTCGGGGCACCGGATTCTGTCCCGGTTGCCCCTCTTCCAGTCCAGCTCTCTGCTATGGCCCGGGAGTGCAGTGGAGGATGCCCCAAGTGCTTGGGCCCTGCACCCCATGGGAGACCAGGATAAGTACCTGGCTCCTGCCTTTGGATCAGTGCGGTGCACTGGCCGCAGTGTGCCGGCCGCGGCGGCCATTGGAGGGTGAATCAACGGCAAAGGAAGACCTTTCTCTCTGTCTCTCTCTCACTGTCCACTCTGCCTGTCAAAAAAAAAATTGTCTTCATAAGCATATCCAATTTTTGAAAAGTATATCATATACACCATATTTTAAGTTAAAAAGAATTAATGTGCTTTTGATTATGTCTAAACTTAGTAAATGTTTCCAATGAAACTTTTCATGATGGTACAGCTGGTCATGAGAAATGTATATTCATAGAAATTCTGATTAAAATTTTATTGTTGATGTGAATTCTAGTAAACATGTATTCTAGTAAATTTTTAGGCTTAGTAGTAGAGTATTTATTTTGAGGAGTACAATATATTTTAATGGTTTTACTTGCAGCCTTTGAGAAAGAATCAGAGAAACCGTTAGCAGTAATTGCAGTACCTGGCATAGAAGGACGGATTTGCCATATTTCTCAGGACATGAAAGAACATTTGCACCAACTTAGAACTGCAAGGAAACAAGGCTTAAGAACTTTTCCCACCATCAGTGATAATGCACCTGCAAATTCCGATTCGGATTGAAATACTAAATATGTAATGTTAGTCAATACCAGAATGAACCTGAACAACTAGTATAATTTTACCATTGTTAAGCATAGTAATGTAATTTTGATTCTTTTGTATTTTTCTAGAATTGATTTTAATTCTGGAGATATTGCTATAAATGTTTTTTTATTTGATTCTTATCAAGTCATGTATCTTTGACTCTTCAATGTTTTACACAAGAAACAAGACCTGAGTACTTGTGCACATGTTCGTGATTTAAGAATAGACATCGCATAGCGCTTCCGAATTAAATGACTTCCATACTCACCTTTCCACAGTACTTACTTGTACATTTTTTCTTTTCCCTCTTAATCTTTTTTTGCTTATTTTTTTGCATCTGGATTAAATATATGTGTTCTTTTTCTTCCCTTGCTGGTTTAAAACTACGTTGTTTTGCTTTCTGACACAGAATAGAGGAAAATGAGTGATTATAAAACAATGATCATTATTGTCCTTTATTCCAGTAAAGATGATGATGAGGTTGTATAGCAATGGAATATTTATAGAAGTCCTGAGTTTTTCATTTTAATGAAATAGACAGTGTGGAAGCTTTCATACAGTTTTCTTACCTGTTATCATTTAAGTTAAAGCAATTCTTCTTCTTCTTAGAAATGAGAGGGAATAGTGTAGCATTAATCAAATGACAAATCCTTTCACAAAAATTTAAAACCAGGTGGGACTAAATTTATAATAGGCTTATAAATTGGCTAATTAATTGAAAAATAATGTTTCTTCCTCATCTCTGATAGTTATAATCTTTGGAAATAAAATGCATCACCTTTTCAGCTTCACTTTTTCTGTGAAAACCTGCAGATCATAATTAGGGCCAAAGGGCATTCTGTTTCTAGGGAGGCCATGTATGCCTTTTATTGTGAATTCATAGAAAGAAAGAAACATACCCAGTTAGTGTCTTGCTTAGAAAGAATGAGTAGCAGTACCAATGAGGTACATACACTAGCATAATTAATTTAAATGGAGGTTTACCTGGTAGAACTGTGAAGGTTCACTTTAATTATTTATTTTAAAGTTCTATTCCTTTCTGCTTTTAGCTCTCTCTTAGCCATGTACAGAAAAGGAAGTACTGACATATGTATATCCTGATTCTCTCTGATGAACCCATGGTAATAGAAAGCATACAGGAATAGAATACTTTGTTCCCAACAGCAATTTTAGCTTTCATTTGAATAATTAGATACGAGGTAGATTTTAGAATTCTATTTTTAAATTAGCAGAAGCATATAGACTCTTAGGTTACAAGAACTTTATTCTGAATTCCTCAGGATCTGTTATTGGCCTTTAAATAGGGTTTAGATTATGGCCCAAATTGAATTATGCATCATTTATATAGTAAGTGGGCATTCATTCATTCAAGAAATAACTTTGTTGAATGTGTACCTTTTTGGTTTTGAGAATGTGTGAATGAATCTGAGGGACTTGGTGGTATGTGTAATTGTAGAGTTTCGCCGTATGTAGAAGTGCTGTTTCCTGTAAAGGTGTTTGAGGGGCCGGCGCTGTGGCGCAGCAGGTTAATGCCCTGGCCTGAAGTGCCGGCATCCCATATGGGCATCGGTTCTAGTTGCGCCACTTCTGATCCAGCTCTCTGCTGTGGCCTAGGAAAGCAGTAGAAGATGGCCCAGGTCCTTGGGTCCCTGCACCTGCGTGGGAGACGCAAAAGCTCCTGGCTTCGGAACTGCACAGCTCTGGCAGTTGCGGCCATCTGCGGGGGTGAACCATCGGATGGAAGACTTTCTCTCTCTGCCTCTCCTCTCTCTGTGTAACTCTGACTTTCAAATAAATAAATAAATCTCTTTTTAAAAAAAAAAAAAAGAAAGAAAGTGTTTGAGTAGAAGGAAATGTAATCAAGGAGGCTAAGACCATAACTGGAGTTAATTCATAGCAAAAAACTGAAGCAAAAGCATAGGTGAGGATAAAAGAGAAGAGTTGTAAAAAAAGGTATCTTATTTGACTGCATCACAACTTATTACTTCTGGCTTTGATATGTTACTGATACTAACTTTGAATAGAAATGCTTTGCATGGTATAGATTAAATAATTTTACTTTGGAAAGATGGCAAATCTACAATAGCTTTTCAAATTATGTCAATCAAAATAGAAGTATTAGAGATAAAGCTATTCTGTTCAGAATTGTAGCAAGTATGATGCTTTAAAAAGTGACAGTTAATTCCATATTAGTTCAGACAGCTCAATAGAACTTATGCTTTCTTTTTAGAAACCTTCTATAGTGCAAATCTATAGTTAAAATGTGTTTGATTAAAATTTTTAAGTTTTCCTCTCATTACCCTGGTTGATGAGGTTTATGGTAGTTTCCCTTCCTCCCTCCCTCCTTTCCCCTTCCTTCCTTCCTTCCTTTCTTTCTTCCCATTTATTTATTTAATTATTTGAAAGGCAGAGTTACAGAGAGGCAGAGAGAGGTTTTTTGTTGTTGTTGTTGAGATTTAAAAATATTTATTAGAGTCAAAGACCTCAGCCAGAGCAGCATGGAGGGCGGCTTCTGAGAGAGGAAAAAACCTGAAGGGCCCGTGGCACTGGGGTTTTTAAGTAGAGTTTGGAAAGAAAAAAACCTTGACAATAATATTGGCATTCAGTTACCAAGTGGGGACAAAACCCATCAAAAGACGTGATTTATAATTCTTTATCCTGTCTGGCTCGCTCTTGATAAAACAAAGCCATCCAGAAGTTTGGGATAGGTAACTTGTTTTCACAGTAAGCTGTGATCTCCAGTTGCTGTTCTGATAATAAATTTGGAGATTCCAAAGGAAGGAGGGCAGCCTATTTGTTCTTGCTAAAGATAACCTATTTGAGGGGAAGCAAATATTCAACACCTCAAATTCCATTGGGAGCACCCTGACTACCTGTTAACCCATCTGACTCCTCACATTCCCCCCTTAACAAGAATGTACCCTAACATCTGTCAGGAGGGACTGGGTGGTGACCCCTCTGGCTGCTGCATGCTGAAAAGGGGCATCTTTGGGAAGAGGAGTCAAGACAGGGTTGCAGCAGGAGGTGGCTTCTCCAGGGGGATGCAGTGCCAGCTTGCAGAAACTGCTTCCATTGGAGGTCTCAGGTGCATGGCCACCTAGAGAATTTTACTTTTTCAAGTCTGGAGAAAACGAAAAAGCAGTTTAAACTCATAGGATCTAAAACTGAGGACAGACTCATTATTAAACCACAAGCACATTTTCTCATTGAGAGGCAAATAGAAACTGGCAGAAGGGGCTTGATAATAATCAGGTGGGCTTGAAGGCCTTGCCAGTTATGAGGCTCAGACCTATCTATCTCTTCACATGGGATGCATCATAAGGAAGGGACCCTGTTGCTTCCATTACCTAGCTGGCCTGGGAAGAGAGCTGGCTCACAGAGAAGGTAGGTGGCATTTCTAAAAGGGAAACATTTTTAGTTATATACAGTTCTGCTTGTGATGTTGCTGACCCTACTTGGCCATCCCCTGAACAGCAGTGGTTACTTTGGAAGCTGGACCGAGAGAAAGGCTTTTCAGCTTAGAGCTAACAAGGTCTTGGCTCTGACTTGGAGCCCTTTGACCCCAGAGCAGGTCTGTTTCCGGCGACCCAGCTTTTGGCTGGCAGAGCTGCCAGGGCTCTGCACAAGCTGACTTCTGCTGAAGCCCTGGCTTTGCACATTGAAGACCAATGCAGTGGACTGGCCTGTTGGGTCTCCTTGAGGGCAGATCACTGTGTAAACAGCCATTACTTGGCCTGCCACCTCTCTTTACATTGCCTCTGCTGTGTAGCTTCCTCCTGATTTTTGTTAAAACAGACCAGAGGAGACCTTTAAGAGAATACAAGTCAAGGGGGAGCTCTGTCCCTAATCTTTGGTGGCCTAAACTAGAAATCTGTAGTCGCAGGCATGTTTGGATAGTGGTTTTTCTTTGAGGTAGACAATGGCCATGAGGAAAGCTGTGTCAAAATGGTGACCACCTTATTTATAAAATTTAAGTCATTAGTAAATCTCCCTTCGTTTGGTTTAAAACGGGAGGTTTTGCCTGTTTACTGTGCCCATGGCAAAGCTATGGAGTCATAATTTAAGCTCTCATTTTGACTATGCTATTATTACAGAAAAATGTTAGCCATCCCTTTTATAAGGTCTAAAGATCAAATTGTACATCCTCAAGAGTCCTTCAGAATAGAATTAGTTTCCCATCTTGAAGAGAATAGAGAAATAAGGCAACAAGTCCAGCTTCTATCTGCTGGTTCATTCCCCCGATGGCCACAATGGCTGGAGCTGCGCCGATCTGAAGCCAGGAGCCAGGAGCTTCTTCCAGATCTCCCACGTAGGTGCAGGGGCCCAAGGACTTGGGCCATCTTCTGTTGCTTTCCCAGGCCATAGCAGAGAGCTGAATCAGAAGTGGAGCAGCCAGGACTGGAACTGGCACCCATATGGGATGCCAATGATATCACCGTGTGCTTATTAATAAATTCCCAATATTAATAAGCCTGTGCAGGTTCTTGCCTAATATTCAGAGAAGAATTCTGAATACCAGCATAGATGAATGAGGCAGCACTTTGTGTTTTAAGCTTTTATTCAGTGAGAAAGATGTGTAGGAGAGTGAGGGCCCCATCTAAAAGAGAGAGAAATTGGTGTTCATACCAAATACCAGGAGCCAGCCACGGGGAGGAGCATGCAGGCCAGGAAGCATGAGTCGGGTGGCCCATAGACCAGGCACCCTGGAGGCACAGGGGCAGCAAGCCCCACACTGGCAAAAGGCCAAAGAAAGGAAAAAAGGGCCAAAAAAGGGCCGGACATACTAAGTCCCAGGCTTTTAATCCACTTCCAAAGGGGAGTGGCTAATTGCCTGATTGGCTGGTGGGCACCCAGGTGTGGCCAGATAGGGGCATGAGGTCACACAGAGGCGTGGTCTTCCAGCTCACAAACCTGATCAATTTTATCCGATACGCCTGTCTACAACACCAGCACTACCAGTGGTGGCTTTACCTGCTACGCCACAGCGCTGGCCCCCTTACTTTCCCTATCATTGCAGATTACCCCTTTCTTACTTTAGGTTATCTGTTTCACTGTTTTCTTCCTTCAGCCTACTTATTTGCCAGCTTGTTTTTTTTTTTTTTTTTTTTTTTTTTTTTTAAGTATGTATTAGCGCAAGAGCGAGGTGCCGAAGTCAGGAGCTGGGAAATCAATCCAGGTATTCCAGGTGAGTGACAGTGACCCAAGAAATTGAGGCAGCATCTGTCGCCTCCCAGGCAGTGCATTGGCATGAAGCTGGAATCTGAAGCAAAGCCCTTGCATGGATGTAGGCCCTGCAGTGAGATAGGGCTGACCCCAGGCGCACCACAACCACTGTGCCAAACACCTGCCCCTCTCTGTCATTTCCCATCAACCTGCAACTCAGTATCACATTTCATTTTATTTTGCTCGACATGTGATGGTTATTCAGGGTGACCTTCATTTCAGGAGCAAGGGTGTGTTGATGGATAAAGAAATCTGTTTTTGTTGTTCTTTGAATTAGACTGTCCATTTTGCTGTATTAATTCAGTTATGAAACTGTTGAGAGGAAGCATTGTAGTGCAGCAGTTAAGCCACTGCCTGTAACACCTGCATCCCAAATGAGCACCAGTTTGAGTCCTGGCTGCTCCACTTCCCGTTTAGTTCTCTGACAATGTGTCTGGAAAAGTAGTGGCTGACAGCCCAAGTAGTTGACTTGTGCCACCCACATGGGAGATCCAGATGGAGTCCCAGGCTCGTGGCTTTGGCCTGGCCTGCCCTGGCTCTTCTGGGTATTTGGGGAGTGAGTCAGTAGATGAAAGATCTATCTTTGTCTCTTTATCTTTCAAATAAAATGAAATGAAAAAAGCCTTGAAAAATTAAATTAAAAGATTTAAAAAATAGAATATGCTGGGGCCGATGCAGGGGTGTTGGGGGTAAGGCCACCACTGGCAATGCTGGCTTCCCGTTTGGATGCTGGTTTGAGTTCTGGCTGTTCCTCTTCTGATCCAGCTCCCTGCAGATGTGCCTGGGGAAGCAGTGGAAGATGGCCCAAGTCCTTGGGCCCCTGCACCCGCATGGGAGACCTCGAGGAAGCTCCTGGCTCCTGGCTTTGGCCTGGCCCAGGCCTCTCTGATGTGGCCATTTGAGGAGTGAACCAGTGAATGGAAGATCTGTCTTTCCCTCTAACCTTGCCCTTCAAATAAATAAAATATATTTAAAAAAAAAACAGACTGTGTTTCAGGCATTGGATGTGGCCTGTAGGCCTTAAAATATTTACTGTATACACTTTTACTGAAAAAGTGTTTGGGCCTACAATATATTATTAGTGTGTTTCCTCAGATCAATAGCATTTGTACCACATGAAAACTGACACAAAATTGTGAGATATAAACAAATGTATTTGTAAGCCATTAAACTTGGGGTAGATTGTTACTCAGCAATAGATAACCAACCTGCTACACAGAACATTTAACCACTTTGGTGGCACTGGAGTGGAATTATTACAGGGTATGCTATAAATTTTTTAAAAAATATTTATTTATTTGAAAGAGTGACCGTGAGAGAGGAAGAGACAGATCTTCCATCCACTGGCTCACTCTCCAAATGGCTGCAACAGCCAGGGCTGGGCCAGGCTGAAGCCGGGAACTCCTTCCTGATCTCTCACATGGGAGAAAGGGACCCAAGTACTTGGGCCATATCCTCTTGTTTCGCCACGTGCAGTAGTAGGGAGCTGAATTGAAAGTGGAGCAGCTGGAACTTGAAACCGCACTCCCATATGGGATGCCAGCGTCCCAAGCAGCAGCTTAACCTGTTGTGCCATAACACAAGACCCTGTGTTAAAGCTTAATTTAGGGTTATCCTGCTTTTGGTCATTTTGTAGCAATAGCTCCGGGATAAAATTTAGCGATAGGGCAGTTAGTTAAGTATACCATATATGATGGTTTTGTGGTATGACATCTTGGCTGGGCTAAACTGCACTCCCTGGAATTCCTCCTCGGGTACGTGTCTGGATAAGAAGGCTGTGAAAGTCTCAGAGTTGAAAGCCGGAAGAAGAGCACCATCAGACTGCTGTTTGTAGTCTGCACACACCTTACCTTAATTATTCAAATACCAATCTACTGTTCTTTTTTTTTTTAATTTTCTACTGTGTTTTTAATTTTTTTTAACTTTTATTTAATGAATATAAATTTCCAAAGTACAGCTTATAGATTACAATGGCTTTCCCCCCATAACGTCCTTCCCACCCGCAACCCTCCCCTTTCCCACTCCCTCTCCCCTTCCATTCACATCAAGATTCATTTTTGATTCTCTTTATATACAGAAGATCAGTTTAGCATACATTAAGTTTTCAATATTTTGCTCCCACACAGAAACATAAAGTGAAAAATACTGTTTGAGTACTAGTTATAGCATTAAATCTCAATGTACAGCACACTAAGGACAGAGATCCTACATGAGGAGTAAGTGCACAGTGACTCCTGTTCTTGACTTAACAAATTGACACTCTTGTTTAGGCCTCAGTAATCACCCTAGGCTCTTGTCATGAGCTGCCAAGGCTATGGAAGCCCCCTGAGTTCACGGACTCTGATCATATTTAGACAAGGCCATAGTCAAAGTGGAAGTTCTCTCCTCCCTTCAGA